GTTTAGAATTGCGGACACTTCCGCCATTAGTGTGACTAAAACCTCGTGGGTAAGCTGGCTTGGTTCCACTTCTCTTAGAACAGAATCTAAAATGCACCTGGCCATCCCAATTAACCTCTCCCAAGCTCCCCCCATATGTGAGGCATGAGGAGGATTAAAAATCCACTGACATCCACGTCCTAACAGGTATCGTTTCACACCATCTTTGTCAACAAGTTGGTGTCCAAGCTCGTTGCATGCTCCTACAAAATTTGTGCCACAGTCCGAACGAATCTGCTTGGCTGGGCCTCTGATCGCAAAAAACCTTCTAAGGGCATTAATAAAACAGGAGCTGTCCATAGACTCCAATATTTCCATGTGAATACCTCTCGTAACCATGCAAGTAAACAGGACAGCCCACCTCTTAGCTTGAACTGTGCTTCGAGTTTTGGAACTACGTATCAACCACGGTCCAAACACATCTGCTCCCACAAAGGTGAATGGTGGTGCTTCAGTCAACCTTTCTTCAGGTAAGTCTGCCATAATCTGTTCTTGTACCTTGCCTCGAAGCCTTTTGCACACCACACAGTCTTTTATGACTTTCGATACTTGCCGTTGGCCACCCAGTATCCAATAACCTTCATTCCTTAAGGTTCCTAGAGAGATGTGTCTTCCTTGGTGGTTGCATTTTTGGTGGTAGTGTCTAATGAGAAGAGTCGATACATGAACATTTTTCGGTAATATGGCTGGATGTGCAGCTCTTTCTGGCAGTTGCGAATAGCTCAGCCTACCGCCAACTCTAAGAAGTCCTCTGTTATCAATGTAGGGATTCCATTTTATGAGCTTGTTGCTCTTTGTTAGCTTTCCACTTCTCACCTCCGACATCTCTGCAGCGAAGTTCTCACCATGGACACTCTTAATAATTAAATTTTCTGCTTCACATCTCTCATCTACTGATTTTGGTGTCTGGCATACATGCCAACCTGTACACCCACATTCAAGTTCGTTGTTGCGTGTAAATGGACGAGCAATATGTTTAAGATTTGTAACAGCTCGAACTGCTGATTCCCAGCTGGAAAATCGGCTGA